GCCAGGAGCCTGTAGTAGCGTCCTTCCTAGTAGCGCCAGGAGCCCCTCGTAGCGTGTTTGCTCCTAGTAGCGCCAGGAGCCCCTAGTAGCGTCCTTGCTCCTAGTAGCGATGCCAGGTGCCCGTAGTAGCGTATTTGCTTCTAGTAGCGATGCCAGGAGCCCCTAGTAGCGTGTTTGCTCCTAGTAGCGATGCCAGGAGCACAAGCCCCTAGTAGCGTGTTTGCTCCTAGTAGCGATGCCAGGAGCCCCTAGTAGCGTATTTGCTCCTAGTAGCAATGCCAGGAGCCCCTAGTAGCGTTTTTGCTCCTAGTAGCGATGCCAGGAGCCCCTAGTAGCGTCCTTGCTCCTAGTAGCGATGCCAGGAGCCCCTAGTAGCGTCCTTGCTCCTAGTAGCATGCAATTTTTAGTTATTGGCAGATTGTGTGACTGCAAAGGTCATGGCGGACGTGGCCATGGTTGTTGTGGACTTTACGCTAGGTGCACCAGGGGCGGTGTGAGGGTGCACAGCTGACACTCCCGTATCCAATCTTTTTTGGCAGTGCACAGATTGCTAAGATTGGGAAGCAAATTTGTGATCCAATTTCTCACTGGTCAATGATGATTTCAACTAACCCGCCATTGTAGGAGGAGCACAGAATGTTGCAAGGGAGGTGTCTGGAGGGGAGTGTAAAGAATGCACGGCTCCCCAACTTGAGCTTTGCTGACCAGGAGACTCTTTCGCTTCTGTCTCCTTCCTGCGGATGTTTCGCCTGGCAAGACTATTCAGCAACCGGCTTGGTATTTTCATGCCGAAGGGCACGGTGTGACATTGCCACTGATAGTCGTAACATGAGTCATGAGCCATAATCAATTAAAGATTCACGTGTACTATGAACTTTTTACAGTAAATCAACCCGCAACATCTACTGCGCAATCACATGATGTCAACTGAGGATTTGTACGTGTCGTGGGCATGTTTCCTGAACTGCAATTCTTGGTGAAGGGCTTCATCTCCTCCTTCTCTGCAGTGTTCTGGGGCTCTATCTTGATGTGGATTGAACCTCATTTGCAAAAGGTTTTCTTTGAGACAGTTTTGGCTCAGTGATTTGTTGCTTTAAAGCTTTAAAGCAAGGCCGCCTCGTTCTTCTCTTGAGGTGATCCTTATGTGGGCCATTATTGCAGTCTACTGGATTCATCCTATACACCTTGCCGCGATTGGGAAAGACAACAATGACGAGCTGACAATAGACTTCGGAGAGTGCGGTCGTAGGTGCAGGGCATGGCGCTCTGTGTGGGACTCTGTCGCATGGATGCATGATAGTGTTTCTCCCAGCCGCAGACCTCGCGATATATCGGCATGTACACACGCAGCAAAATAAACATATACATACACACGTATACATCTTTTCATACAATCGTACGTCACATTGCTGGGAGCTTCTGAAAGCTGAGTGGTGAGAGCCAAGGTAATCACGTTGTGCCAGACTGTCGTTTTTGGAGATAGCTGGGGCCTCTCAGCCATTGTGCCTTGTCATAGTATAAGAATCAGGACTTGGTCTGCACTTTGTGTAGTTTGTGAGTCGCTTCAAACAATTGATTGGAGTCACTGCCTTGGAAACTCACCATGGCATTCAGGGGATTATTGAAGAAGAGCCGTGGACTATAATATTCTTTGCCCGGAGCTCGGCTTCTGCAGGCAAGCGCATATCATTGTTGCTTTTGTTTGATTGCAGATTGTATTTCCAATTTCCAAACACCCTTTTCCCCCGTTGAAGGGTCCCGTGCCGGACCTCCTGAATAGCAACATGCAACAAAGTGGATGCATTGAGGAAGTTTGCGCCCGATGCTGGCCCACTCTTCCTTTAATACCAAAGGCGAGGCTAGAGGCTAGACGCAGGTTTTGAGACCGTTTCGTTTCGCCAGAGTGATCGGGAACATGATGTCATCCGCGGCTTGCCCCATAATGAGTATGCCGCTATGAGAAGAGAGTGCACAACGTGGGGCTGTCGCGCATCACTGGCCATGCTGGGAGGTGATACCATGTGATACCATGTGTGATACCATTGTTACTATCGATCGGCCTGGTGGCTAGCGACGCTGTAAGAATATATGGTGCCTATTCCTTTCTTTCCCATTGCCTTGGGTCGGCGTGTGGCCCAATCCCAATGCTGTTCTAATCTTGAAAAGTTATGCAAAAGTGTGAGACGCAACAACGGCGTTCCGGCCCCCTTGTCGTGCGGGCCCGAAGGCCGCGGGTGTTGCAGCACCTTCTCAGAGCATGATCCAAGCATTATCTTAATCAAAATGCCCGAATTCTTCGGGCGGATGCACTAAGTGATTCATGCGGGCGAGTCTGTGCTCGCGCACGGCAGTCAGGACGGTTTGTATTTGTAAACCCATACTGATTAGCGCGAAGGTTTTAAAAAGACCCGGGACCTAGGAGAAATGTAAGCAGTGGTTCCGTTTTAGCAAACCATGGCTGATTCATGGTTGCAAACACAGGCAGAGCTGCGCACCTATTTCCTTGTGCAGAAAGGGCCTCTGACAGACAACGTGGTCTCACGTGATGTCCTGTCCACTGTACTTCCTTGTGTTAGACACACAAAGTCCCTCTAAGAAGTTGCAAAAAGCGAGTGTCTTTCCACTGCCCCTTTGTGGCGCGGCTTTTTGCTGTATCAGTGCAGCAACTCTTCGTTGCTGTCAGATTCCACCGCCCTCAAATGACATTCTCCAACTCGGTCGTTTGCCGGCCAGTCATAGTCATAGGGCGTTTCTGCTCCTTCGCTCACTGACGGAGTCTGGTTCGCTTCCATCAACATTCCATGGGCATTGATTGCCTCACGCTGCTAGCCAGGAGGTGGCGCAGGGCTCGATGCCTTTGCAACCTGAGGTAGGTCACCTCCTCCTTGTCGAGTGTAGCCTCGATAGGCTGATGCAGCACTTCCCAAGCTTCCATCTGCCTGCACCCTTGTGGAGTCCGGGGTCGACCAATCCGTCGTGACCGTTGGCAACGTGGAAGACATCGTTCCGCTGCCGCTGCCGCTCGATCCTCCTTCAGCCACTGCCGTCGCAATGTAGCGCGGAGTGCCATTGTCCGTGCGGCCATCCACCAAGGTCAGCTGCAGTTGAGGAACTTCTGCTTCTGGATGTTGTTCCAGCGCTACGGCCTGTCGCATGATGTCGTTCCGATGCTACATACGACTGCCAACCTGAACCCAATAAATGGGTTCCGACCCAGGTGGTCTGTCCCAGTTCTTTTCCGAATCTGTCAACGCTTGAAGCGCCAATCTCAGGCCCTCTGGGATTCCAGACCATCTCTCCATAGGTGGCATAGGCGGAGGAGGTTTTGCGATCCGTCCTGTTGTCCTGGTCTTTGCGCCAGGTTGTAGCCTGTTGATGCGCTTGCTGTAGAACCAATCGGCGGCCACTCAGAGACTGCGGCCCATCTGTGCTCGCCGATGACCTTGTGGACCTCTCGGTCGCCATCCAAGCACCAACTGGTTCCTGCATGCGCTGATTGCGCAACTGCACAGCTTCATCCGTTCTCATATCCCGTGGGGGCAGCGTATGCTCTTGTTTTGCCCACTCTCCGACTGGACGAGTGCCCACATAGTAGCTGGCTGCTTCCGCCCCATGTGCTGGGCTGTGTAGTTCAAAGAACGTGTAGCCGTTCCACCTGCCTTCCATCTTGTTGTGCATCCGGTCCTCCTTTGTCGGGGGCTCGATCCATGAGTCCTCTGTAGGTCTGCCGGGCTGCTCCCCAACAATATACTTGATGATCACCCTGCGGCCCGTCAGGACCTGCTCATCTCGTAGTGGGTACGAGCTGTGGATTGGATGGCACCTCTGGTACCTCATCTTGCATGCAGTGGACCCTCACCACAAAGTTCTCCACCACCTGCCAGCGGTCTGTGGTGCCCGTGGGCGGCACATGAAATGGTGGGTGCCACCACGGCTCATGCGGTCTTGCACGCGGTGGGCCATCGTCATCCGCCCTCATCATCTTGACCATGGCTCGCGGGCGCGCAGTGGTGTTTTGGCCACCACTCGAACCTTCATGGGAGCCCTGCGCGCTATTGTCGGGAGGATGGGATTCCCTGGCGGGTTCATTTTGGGCCCGCACGGTGGTTCCACCTGCCTTGAGAGCAGGTCCCCGCAGGGATGGTTCATTTTCCCTATCCGTATCCAATTTTTTCTGAACCTTTCTCAACCACGTGACACCTGCTAGCATGAGTGCTAAGGCCACTAAATCTACGAGCTGCGACTCAGCCCCACTTGCAAAGAGAGCTGCTGCAAGGAGCACCGCCAATGCGCCCCGCATGATTGTCCAGTCATCCTCATCTCGGTGTTCTCTTTGCTTCGCTGCCATCGTCTTCACCTGGATGAGGTGATGACTTTTGCCCTCTTTCATGGCGATCTGATTCACAAACAGCTCGAAGGCAGGTCCCAACGTCACCTTGGTATAATGCCAGTGCACTCTTGTTGTCACCATACAATGATCTCCTCACCCCCTCCATGCCCAAGGCTTCAAGGAGTGTTGCAACCCCTTCTGCCTGTTGAAAGACCTCAGTGGCCACCAGGCCACCAGCTCCGCCTCTGCCGTCGATCCTGTGATGAATGGTTGCCGTGCCGAGCTCCACAAAATAGGACATCCAGCTACCATCACAATAGTCCCATGGACTGACTTGTAGGCCTCCGCTGCCGGTGCAAACGATGCATCTGCATACGCCTCCACATCGGTCTCACTCCTCGGGAACTTGAGTTCTTCTTTTTCCCCAAGTGGATGTTCACCCACTCTTCTGAAGTCAATACCTCGGTCTGCAGTATCCCTCAGGTACGTCAGGATTGCCCTTGCATGTTCGCAGACTTCCTTTGGACGACGATGCATCGCCCGACTCAGGACACCAGTTCCATCACAGACATCTGGTCTGCTCCTGCACGCGACCCACTGGAGCTCCAACGCAAGTGTCTGAGCTTCCCTCAGGGTTGCGATGTTGAATTGCTCATCCTCTGCCTCCTGCTGGAGGACCGTTCCCTTCCAATTTGACGGACCAGTCACCCCTTTCTTGTCACAGAGGTCCAGGATGTAGTCCCCTTGATGCAATTTGTAGCCATCACTTCAGCTCCTGTCCCACCTCCTCGAGTACATGACTACCCGAGCATTCACCTCCTCGGTGGGTACTGATTGCGATGGCAGGCCCAATCCTCCGGCGATTCTCTCAAGCCGTACAAGGCTCCCTTTGCTGCCCACATCGTTCCAGGCGGCGCAATCCCCAGCTGCGCAACCAACTGCGGTGGTTTCGCAAGGGTCACACGATGCGCTGCACTTCGTTTGGGCGCCTGCAGAAATGCACTCTTGATGTCAGTAGAGCCACATGTCCATTCCCTCTGGCTTGCAACCATCATCAACACCCTCAGTGCCACTGCATCAATCCCTCCAGTCGAGGTTGTCACTGTTTCATCAGGCGCGCCAAAGTTTCCGCACCCAACGATCCTTGCCTTTCTTCTTCCACATGGTGCTTTACGGCTGCGCAGTAGTTTACCTGGGATGATCTCTATGTAGACCGCCACCAGTGTCTTCACCTCCCCAGGTGTCTTTCTCACCAATGTGCAAGTATTTTCCAGCACCATCACCTCATTTTCCACTGGGTTAATCCAGAGGTCCTTCTCTTCCAGGATCTGCTTCGTTCCCACCAGTTAGGTCTGCAGTACCTCTGCCTCCTGAGGGGTTGCTTCTTTCTCCCCCGTTCCCACGGCCTTCATGATGCGGGCAAGTTCTTGGTGATCGTCCTGTATCTTTCGATCAAGCCACATTGCATCTCTTTTCAGTTGCCTGACGCACGCATCCGTTTGACCCTCAGGAGAGATGCTCATGGCTACTTCATCCACAATCACCCGCTGAAGTCCTTGACGGAGTTCATTCATCACTTGCGCTTCCCTTGTGATGCCTTTGATCCCCTCCAGGATGATGTTCTCTACCGTCTCGCTCCTGGTTGGCGTTTCACACGCCCTGCATTCTATGTCTGCTTCAACCTTTTTGAGCCCACACCCTTGACATTCTTCAAGTCCTTGATGTTTGCTCGAGGTGATAGGAGCGACCTCAGTCTTTTTCAATGCCCTTACAGCTGCATGTACTTCCTCCCCCCCTGGTCGTCGGCCAGGTTGATGTAGTCGATGAGCTGGTTGCTTGCCTTGCAGTCGATACCTGCGGTCTACTGCGTCTTCCACCTCAGTCATCAGCAGTCCATGGACCCGAGTCTCGAAGTCATCAGCTTGAACATCATCTTCCCCATCGCCAGGTTCCCCATAGCCTTTCGGTGACGGGGGTTGTGCCTGATCATCAAACACCTCCCAAAACTCCGCAGCCTCCTTCAGCTGGTTGGCAATGGAGTGCGGGTTTTCTTGATGTAGTAATTCCATTGCGTCTTGACCGTCGCGTTCAGGACGGCTACCTTCCGCTGATGCACCACCAGGGCCGCCATTGCCAATGGCCTGAACTCCCCCCTCAATGGTCACTGTGCATCGCTGTGCGGTGCGGCCTGACAGCTACCGTGGTTCGAAGCCCATGCGAGTCCACCGTCATCACCCAGTGGGCCCCAGCCGATGAAGCCATACTGACAGTTGCCTCGATCATCGGGTGCTTCCATGCATCCCAGCGGCGATGCCAGGTTTTT